TCACATGTACACACCCAGCTGTCTAGGTACTATTTACATGTACACACCCAGCTGTCTAGGTACTATCTACATGTACACACCCACCTGTCTAGGTACTATTTACATGTACACACCCAGTTGTCTAGGTACTGTTTACATGGCCATAGCCAGCTGTCTAGGTGCTGTTTACACAGGAATAATCAGTGGTGTAGGTGCTGTTAACATGCATAAGCAGATGTCTAAGTTCTGTTTACATGTACACTGTAAGCCGTCTAAGTGTTGTTTATATGTACATAGCCAACTGTCTAGGTGCTGTTTATAAGCACAGCTTGTACATCTTTAAATGTTTTCCATGTGAATGCATATGGTATCTCAAATATCATTTTGGCTCAGCACCACCCCCCTGAAATATTGGTAGCACCGCATATGTTTGTGTTTCAAAACTTAAAGTTGACCACAAAGATTAAATTATAAACTAAAAAAAAATATCATAAGCAGAATTAACCAGATTTAGGTTCTGCTTCCTTTGAATACCTACGATTATTTAAATTATTTACATTCTGGTAGTATTCGATTCGAACGACATGCAGATTAACATTATGTTGTGTTTGATCCATGTCTTCTATGTATATTATGTTCAAAATCTGAAATCTGTTTTACTGAAAAAGGTAAGTTTCCAGTGGGGGTGATTAAAAGCTCATTTGGGAAGATTTTAAATGCCGACTTGGCTGAATTAACTAGTTAGTGTGCCACATGTAACTGGTTTTATTAATCATAATGATTTTATTCAGGAGATTATTCCCATTTATTCATATGCTGGATTATGAAGGCTTGACGTCTTAATCTTTTATGATTTTGTTAAATATGAAATGCTGCCAATTAATAAGTATATCATTTTTTGGATCGTATGTTCAAAACGAAAAATACATTTGGTATTCTTTAGCTAATTTGTATGTGAACAAACGAGCCACTATTGTTGTGACAAAGATGTTTGATTTGTCAAATCCTGTATTCAGTAACTTGGCAATAACCTTGGAGGAATTACTACTACTACTACAAAAAAAAAAGATATTTCAAGTGTTACAGCTAATGCCTGCTGTGAAGACTAATACAGGGTGGTTGTGGCTAAATCAATAAAACATAGAAATGTAAAAGGCAGCAGACTCGTGGCATTTTGCTTAACAAACACAGACTTTCAAATAGCCTTTTGCAAGATGCTAGAATTTCTAGAAGTCCTTGTTTCAAAAGCGAGTTAACCACACCCACCCTGAATCTAAGTTATTTTTATAAATTTGTTGGAATTATATTTTAATGAGCCAAATGTGTAAATGTAAGTCATGTAACCATGGTTACTATGTACTATGTCTCATGTATGACAATAGAATTCTGATACAATGTGGTTTGCATATAAGTATTATTTCTGTGATTTTTATAAAAAATATTAAAAAATATTTCCCTTTAAAATGTAATGAAAATATTTTTTTCCCCCTCATGTGTCCCTCCAAAAGGACTGTTTTTGTAGCCATCCTAATGCTGTTTTTTTCAAA